AACAGACTCCTTTAGGAGTCTCTAAATTGGGGATTTAGCTCAGTGTCTGCTTCATCCAAAACAAACATTTGGATCCATTTTGGAGAAAGATAACCTACTGTTTATCATATCAAACACTCCCCACGGTATACCAACAAGAAGGTGCGGTGCTTCAGCCTGCAGTTTTTGCATTTCACTTTGAACACTTGTTCCACCAATACAGCCATGATGACTTGCTCTGTAGTCTCCAAGGGCCAGAATTATCTTTTGGATCTTTGATACAAAGAATAATAGCCAGGGATTTAGCTCAGTAGTTCTGACATCTACCTTGGACCTGAGTTTGATCCCCAATACCAAAAAAAAAAAAAAAAGAATAATGGCTTTTACTGAATAGCTGAAGGCTTCTCAAAACCTCAACCATAGATGCCCTGAAGAACAGACTCCTTTAGGAGTCTCTAAATTGGGGATTTAGCTCAGTGGTGCCACTGCCGGCCTGGCAAGTGTAAGGTCCTGAGTTCAATTCCTGGTACTTAAAAAAAAAAAGAGAGACTCCTTTAAACTCATGTCATCAAAGTCATCAACAATCCCATTCCAGTTGCTCTCAATGACACCCCCAGGGTCCATTCCCTCTGGCCTCCATTTTAATCTGCAAAACCACCAAATAAGATCCAAAGACCCTCTCAGCATCTGACTGAAAAGCTCATTTTTCACATTTTGGAGACAGGGTCTTACTATGTAGTTGAGACTGACCTGGAACTCACTGTGTAGCCCAGGCTGGTCTTGAACTCACAGCGATCCTCCTGCCTCAGCCTCCCAAATTCTGGGATTACAGGCATGTGCTACCACATCCATCTTTCCCTGTTATTTTTAATAAATTCTATTTCTAGGCCTTCAACTTCAGTATTTTCTTAAGCAATGTCTAATGGTCCATTAATCCCATATAGTTTCCATCTCAGAAATTGTGGTTTTCATCTCTATAGTTCCATTGGTTTTTAGAATGATTTTCAGATTGTTAACTTTTGAATATATAGGATAGTTTTGTTATAATGTTCTTCTCTGCTAATTCTAACATCTGTGTAAATTCTAGGTTAGGTTTGATTAGTCTCTTATGAGTTGTGTCCCCGCCCCCAGAACTAGGGGTTGAACAGAGGGCCTTTGTACTAGGCTTCCAGCCAACCCCCCCACAAACTTTTACATAGTTTATTTTCCTTTATTAGTACATTTTAAGTATATATAATACAGTTACACTCATCATTGGGATCTTGTACTTTTACACAGTATATCTTGGTTCTTATTTTTTCCCTATTCCCTTGCCCTTCCTTCACCCTCCAATTTTGTTTTGAGACAGAGTTTTGCTAAACTGACCAAGCTGGTCTTGAACTTGTGATCCTCCTGCCTCAGTTCCCAGAGTTCTAGATTATAGGTGTGTGCCACCAGGCCCACCTGGCTGCTTTGTTTAAAAGCGTAGCAATCTTTGGATGCCAGACACTATGATTTCACCTTTTTGGACACTGGATATTTTGTCTCCTATAATAATCTATGGCTTTTTTTCTTTTGTGGTAGTGGGCATTGAACTCAGGACCTTGACCACAGGCAAGTGGTGTACCACTAAACTACATCCCCAGACATTTAAAAAATTTCATTTTGGGTGCCAGGAGTGGTAATGCCAGCACTTGGGAAACTGAGGCAGGAGGACTGCTGGAGTTTGAGGCCAGCCTGTGCTATATAGTAAGTTCAAGGCCAGCCTGAACTACATAGCAAAAAGAAAAGAAAGAATGAACGAACATAAGTTGGTTGAGTGGAAGGGAGAGGATTTGTAGCACTGTTTCCTTCACCTTGAGTGGCAGTGGCTCCCAAGGGACTTCTCAGAGAACAAGAGACCAACAGGTCATGCCTGTTTTTGCCTGATAGTCCCTTTACAGCCACCAGTTAAATGCACCAAAAAGTGACACATGCTTGGGATAATGGCTCAGGATAGGGCAGCAGTGAGCTGCTGAGGAGCCTTCACCAAAGGGTCAGCTTTATCCCTTCCCAGCTCCTTCCTCCTCCCAGGCAGCGGCCCCAGAAGCTCCTGGCCATAACTGGGAGGGTGGGGAAGAAGCAGATGGGGCCAAGCCAGTGCCCTCTTTGCTTTGCTCATCTGGCCCAAGGGACCCAAGCTGAAAGATTTGAAGTCAAATTAAGTTCAGAGGTTTAGCTCCATGGATCAGCACATTCTAAGTTCAGAGCTGAGTCTTTGTTGCTTGAAGGAACCATACACTATGTGCTTTTTTGGGGTGCTAGGAAATAGACCAGCCTAGTCTGGGGTTGGTATCACCCAAGTAGGAGCAAATGTATTTGTCTGGTGTTGAGAATCAAATCCAGGGGCACTGTACACTCCTGCCCCTTTATATTTTTTGAGACAGGATCTCATTAAGTTGCCTAGGTGGGACTCAAGCTTGCAATCCTCCTGTCTCAGCTTCCTTCTCCAGTGCTGGGATTACGTATGTGTGCCACTGTACTCGACTTCAAATGGGAATTTATTCTAACGGTACAGGAGGATTTCATGGGTGCTTGGGTACACATCCAGCTGGGCTTACTTGGTCTGGGACCAAGAGCCAGAGCACAAGGCTACCCAACCCATCAGCTGTTCTCAGTTCCCTGGTATTTGAAATGACCCTAATGCACCATAGTAGGCATCAGTGTGTGAGCATTCATCATGAGCCAAGTACTGTGGTAAGTGCTCAGGTAGGTCTTACTTTTTCTACCTGGAGAAACTGAGGCACTGAAATGTTTCAAGTCCCAGGCTAGTGAGTAAACCTCACACAGACAAGTAAACCTACAGGGTATGACCTGTCCTAGGAAATTAGGCAAGGCTCAATGAGGCGCCACCGGAAGGGGTTTTGGGCTGACGCATCATGGGACAGGCACCCAAAGTGGAAGAAGGGCTGACAAGTGCAAAGGCCCTGAGGCAGGAGTATCAGAAACAGCTGAGTAGCAAGGAGGCCAGTGAGGCTGGACTCAGAGACTGAAGGGATAGGGGTAGGAACAGGCTGGAAGGCTAGATAGAGCCTGCAGGGTGAGAGGACAGACTGTCTCATGGAGATGCTAATGGGAATAAAGGACATTTAACAGTGGGATAAAGATGAATCAGGGAGACTGGACTCTTTCAGAAGTATGGTCATCCTACTTAAAGGATGAGGTAAAGAATGTGATCTTTATCCTGAAACTATTGGGAAGCTTTGATCTTGGGCTAGTTGATCTGCCCAGCGCCCCCTCCTCCCAATATTCCAGTATCACACATACATAGTAAACAAATATTTACAGGCTGGTTTTTATGTACATATAGTCCCACGCAACACAATGGGCTGATGAAGGTACAAAGGTTCCCACCCTCCTAGAGTGCTCCCTTGGCCCTTCCAACTCATCCTCTAAAGGTAACCTACCACTCTGACCTCTAGTACCAGACTGTTTCTACCTGCATTTTAAAAACTTAGGTTATAACCTATTAAGCACAGAACTTTAAAGCTGGGCACAGTGGTGTACAGAGCTAGGAGGACAGCAAGTTCCAGGCCAGCCTGGACTACATAGTGAAACCGTCTCAATCTCTTTCCCAAACCACTCACTCTATCTGTCCATCTATCTATGCACGCACACAGTGAAATGCACTGATCTTGGACAGTTTGGAGGTTTACTTATATGCACACTTGTGCAATTTACTTATTTATGTACTTATTTGCAGTACTGGGATGAACTCAGGACCTTGCACTTGTAAGGTGGGCGCGGTGCCAGAGTTAAATCCCAGGCCCTCCCCTGTGCAATTTAGAGACAACACACTCCTTAGCAGCCCACAGGCTCCTCCCGGCTGCCTTCCTGTAGCAGCAGCACGCCGCGGCTCAGGTGGTTTTAGGGCCCTCGGTCCCGAGCCCCTCCTCGCTCCCTTGCTCCACAAGCTCCTGCCCCGGTGAGGGCTTCCCAGCCTGGCCCGGCCATCCTCTCCCAGACCAGGGCTTTCTTTTTTATGTTATTTTTTTCGGTTTTTTGAGACAGGCTCACTATGTAGCTGAGACTGACCTGGAACTCACTACGTAGCCCAGGCTGGTCTTGAACTCAGAGCGATCCTCCTGCCTCAGCCTCCGGAGTGCCGGGATTACAGGCGTGCGCCACCACGGTCGGCTAGACCAGGGCTTTCTTGTGTGTGAGGGGTCCTCCATCCATCTCCTTCTGCCAATCGAATCCCGAACAAACCAATAACTTGAAAAGCAGTGTCTTGCCAAGCAACCCCAGCCTGAGACCAGTGTCCGTTTCCCGACAGACGACGAACCTAAGTCATGAGTCTGGGGACTGGCTCTGAGACGGACACTACAGGGTAGGGTCGCGCCTCTGCGGTCTCAGTTCCGCGAGGCCCGGTTCTTCTAGGGCCGCTCTCAGCATCCAAGCCCAGGACTCGTATACGTTCTTCGCTAACGCGCTCACCTTGACCTGCACAGCTCGCCCCAGGACGCGCGCAAGCGCAGAAAGGCCCCGCGACCCGCCCAGGCGCCTTTGCGCAAGCGCAGGGCCGCAATCTCGGCAGCGCACTCTCCGCCCCGCCCC